ATAACTGTCTTAAGTTTACTCTTCATCCTTTTGTCGATGATCATGTCAAATGAGTCCAACCTTGAACCTTGAACCTTGCTACTGACAGCAGCTACATGTAAATTTCAGTTTTACTTCTGACTGAATCGTTGCTGCCGGCATCCTGGACACGATCATCCTGAGAGTTTTCATTGGAAACTGATTGAATGGGATAGGCGGAAATGACGTTGGATGCGGCGTTCACGTTTCGCGTACGTTTGTGTACGTTACATGCAGGCAGGAGGAGTATCAGACATCCATGGAAGATGAGTCAGCCAGCCTTCCAAAAGAAAACTCGTCGAACTGGAAGAAAAACCACCAGGACCAGTGGCAACCAGAAGATTTTGTGAAAAGTGGCGAACTGGAGACGGCGGAGTTGTGAGACAATGGCTACATTATGATGGCCACGTAGCGTTGCTGCCTTTCACAGACAACTGGCCCTCGGCATTCTTCAAATATCCAAAAATTGCCCGTACTTCCGACTTTGTCTTATTTGAGGGATAATAAATGTCCCGAGTGCTGCCGTCTCCTCTGGCCATTATTTCAGCTTTAGCTTAAAGAAAGTTTTGGTCGTAAAAAATAAAGTGCGCATGTGCCGCCGGCTACTTCAGCAGATGATACGGTGGCTGGTAAGGGTCACCGCGCCTACACCGCAGCCACGGTAATCCACCGAGATAATATATATATTTTTAAAAACAAGACGGTTATTATTATTGTCAACTTTTTTACCGGGGTTTACTGCTACACCGGTTACCGTGACAACCCTAGCCCTGACACACTTTCAGATATTCTCATGGTGCAGCTGTGTTCTCCAGAGATCAAGGACTATGATCAAATGAGGCTGTAATGCTTTGGCACAAAGACGGTGTCAGAAGCAGGAGGCCAGACTTCATGGACAGAGAAAACAAGGAGTCTGACTAGATTTCAATGAAAGAGTTCATAAAAACATCTCTAAAAATAAATAAATAAATAAATAAATAAATAAATAGTAAAAATGACAAAAGAGTCGTTTTTCTTAATAATTGATGTTTTAATTATTTTGTCACTCTGTTTGGAATCAACATAATATAGAATTACATGCTTTAGGTAGATCTAAATCATTTGGAATTTTGGCCGGTAAAAAATATGCTTGGCCGGTAGATTTTCATCATCTACCAGCCAACTTGGCCGGTGAGTAAAAAAATTTAATTTCGGACCCTGATTAGGCCATTTCAGGAATTAGATTTTTTTTTTTTTTTTAACTGCAGCTGAAACAGGAAAATGCACGAATGCAGCCAAAAACAGGTTTGGGGGTATTTTTCCATGAGGAAACAAAAATATTAAATGCTAAAAAGCTTCAAAAAGTAGATTTTCCATATGCCCTCTTTAACAAATTCACTGCCAATGACGACTAAATTCGTCATTTGCAAGTTTTTACTGTGTGGGCATCGGAACAAGCCCACGCACCGTGAGAACAAACACCCAAGCTCTAAAGTCGATCTTCATCCGCGTACGTCACACGTCACGTGATCAGGAAGCAGAAAATCCATGTGTTAGGAGATCGTTTTGGGCCGCTGCTGTAAAAAAAAAAAGCAAGGCGTGAACCGGAAAAGCTTCTGCCGATCACAATTCTACAACAGATTATGAAAAAATGGATAACGCTCGAAACGCGCACATTTTTCCTGATGTAATAGGTGAGTCTACTCTTTATTTTGTTAGTTATGGCGTTGACGTCATCATAGAGCGCAACGTTCTGTGACTCTTAAAAAAACAGTAAAAATGTTGAAAAACGCTGGCAGCGAAGGACTTTTCTGATCAGGGAACGGCTGGCAGTGAATGAGTTGAAGTAATGATGTTTATTTTTCTTGTAGATAGGGGGCAGTACATACCTAAATCATTGCAAGCAAGCGATATTTTTGTGTTCAATTAAGACCATACCAACAAATGGCCATTAGGGTCAAAAATCCCTGGGAACCTAAAATCAAAGAGATTTCAGATTTCGAAAGAATCAAAAATGCTTCCAATTTTCGAATGAGTACTTCGTCAGAACGTTCAACCTCCAGCAAAATGATGCACCTCAGACTCTCTTTTAATCACTGGCAACAAGCAAAGAGGTAAATGTGTAAAACAACAATGTTTATGAATGACGAAAGTTATATAGCTCTTTGTTACAAGTCAGTAAATGTGTTTTGTCCTCACAGGCTCCCATAGAAGGAAACACTGCGTCTATTATGGCATCACCCAGACACTTAGGCCCGCTCCCATTTATTTTAGACCTGATTTTTCTGGTTATATGTTACAAAGTCGCCAATATTTTTCAACAACTGGGCATCATTTAACTAATTTACCTCAACATTTAGACAAATATTTCCATTAAAGGAAAAACTACACATTGTTACTTTAGGAGACTGACTGACGCTCTGTGGTTGCAGCAACTCTGGCGGTGGATGAATCTCCAAGAACATTTTTCTCCAACATCTGTCGATTCTCTGGCCTTCAGTAACTTGGATCAATGGTTAGTCTGGTCAGGATTTATCTTTCTTTTATGAAAATATTTTGTGACAAAACACCCCAAAAATGAAGTCTGCAAGTCCTCCATTGTTGTAACAACATACTGATTTTTGCAAAGTTGTTTAACAAATCTGATGTAAATTACAATTTCATTGCCATTAGTTGGACATAGGGTTGTCACGGTAACCGGTGTAGCGGTAAACCCCGGTAAAAAGGTTGACAATAATAATAACAGTCTTGTTTTTTTTAAAACATATATTATCTCGGTGGATTACCGTGGCTGCGGTGTAGGCGCGGTGACCCTCACCAGCCACCGTATCATCTGCTGAAGTTGCCGGTGGCACATGCGCGCTTTGTTGTTTAGAACCAAACCTTTCTTGAAGCTAAAGCTGAAATAATGGCCAAAGGAAGGGACGGCAGCGCTCAGGACATTTATTATCCCTCAAAGACGACAAAGTGGGAAGTACGGGCATTTTTTGGATATTTGAAGAATGCCGAGGGACAGTTGATAGAAGATGGCTATCCTGTTTGCAGCACGTGCAGAAAAAGTGTCTGTGAAAGGCAGCAACGCTTCAAATCTCATGACACATCTGCGTGACCATCACCCACAACTCTAACGCCAACGCAAGGCAAGCTAACTTTTGCGTTTTAGCTAAAATGCGTGATCCGAGGATTTGGGTTGATAGAGAATGCACTGAGTCGCTTTATAAAGCAGCCGCAGCGCCGCTACCTGCATATAAACCGTGTCACGGACACCCCCATGTTGAAATTAGGGCTGTCGCGGTAACCGCAAGAAGAAAATATCGCGATATTAAGAAACCCACCGCGCTGCAGGACGTGCCACCGCCATTACCGCACTTGATTAAATCTCGCGACAGCGCATGCTGAGAGGTAAAGTCCGCGCTGATCGAGGAGATAGTACACATGGAAGATGGAGGGAGCGGTGTCAGTGCGTCAGCTGCAGCCCAGCTAGAGACCTTGGAGCAGGCAGTGCTGCCACCAGCGGCAAAGAAAAAAACGCTTGGAGACGTGCTGAAGTCACGGACAAGCACGTCATCTGTAACCGTCCCAAAGAGAGTTAGAGCCCAGCTGGAGCTCACTCGCTACCTGCAGGAGGAACCCATTGACCCTAATGAAAACCCTCTGACATGGTGGCTTAACAAACATGGGAGATTTCCATTGCTCTCCAAAGTCGCACGTAAGTACATGTGTATTTGCGCAACAAGCGCACCATCCGAGAGGGTTTTTAGTGTCGCTGGAAATGTTGTCACCCCTCTCAGATCCTCTCTCAAACCGCATAAAGTTAACATGCTGGTTTTCCTTGCGCGTAACAAGGACGTGACCGAGTTATAAGTTATTCTTGTGTGTGAAAGTGAAATGACAGTGCCTAGGACATCTCATTTTGTGTACTTTATTTTAAACTACAAAACAAAACGGGCACTTTTTTTTATTTCTGTTAGATGTTGCAGCCAAATTTGCATTTCAAAGTTAAACCTCCTGAATGTTGTTTTTAAGTTCAGTCAGAAAATGCCGTAACTGCCCTTCGATCTGCATTCAATAAAGTGTTAAAAATGGCCATGTAATTTTTCTAACATTTTTTAAATGTGTAAGCACAATGTTTCAAAGGAAATATTGACATGAGTTTAGTAATCAAACAAATTTGCTAAGTACATAAATAAAAACGGGGTGCAATAATATCGCATACCGCAATATTGAGCTGCCCTGACTCACCGCAGGGGGAATTCCTCAACCGCGACACCCCCATGTTGAAATGATGCTATGCATTACGGGGCTCCCAGGGGCAGATAAGAGTTGGTCTCTCTCCGAGAATAATTATGAATTTAACAACGATTACCGTCTGATGACATTTTCCCACATCTGCAAAGCTCACTGGAAGGACACAAACCGAGGACAATATTTTCCTGATATAGGGTTTATTACTCAAGTAAGGGTAAAAAAGTATCTGATTAGAAGGCTACTTGAGTACTGAGTATCATCTGGTCTAATATTTTTAAAATGATGACATCAAACAGACAAAAAATAAGAAGTTATGGGCAAATATTGGTATTTTAAAGAGTAAAGGGGAAAAATGTAAACAAATAAACAACATAATTACAAAATAACACATTTTAGGCAAAAGTTAGCCACAAACTGAGGACAATATTTCCTGCTATACAGGGTTTATTTATTTGTCTGGAAATGTAACACGTATAAAAAAAAACGCGATAATACCGAAAACCGTGATAATTTTGGTCACAATAACAGTGAGGTTACATTTTCAACCGTGACAACCCTAGTTGGACAATATTAGTTGGGCTGTTTTGAACAAAGCAAGAGGTTTCTGAAGTGCCAGGTACAACACTGCCTCAATGTATAGAATAAAAACCAAGATTTGACATTTTAAAGAATGATTTCCCCCCAAATCTGGTCACCAGTAGGTTTAAAAGAAAGGAAAACAAGCATATAAGTTTTACAAACAAGCAACTACTTACCCATGACACCACTCTGCCATTAAAACATGGCAACTTGGCACTATCGTCTGAAATCTCCTCCTTCACCACCCTGAAAAGCAAACAAAGTGAGGTTTAGGCTGTATGAACTGTAGTGTTTTCACAACATCAGAGTGCTGCATGTGGCATCAGAACAGCACCAATGAGAGGTGGAGGAACCTCTGAAAGTTAGACCTCGACTGCTGACAGGCCATAAAGAAAGCCATAAAAGTTCTGGGGATTTCATGTGTTTAGACTGCAGACAGACCACATTAAATACGTTGCTTTTGTCTGTGACTAAACCCAAAACGAACAAACTTTTCAAACCAGCTACAACTTTTCATCTAATCTACTGTGTGAACACTGGCAATAAAAGAAGACAATATAAGAAAACCATTCAGGGCCGTGTTGCACTGAAGCTACAACTTGGTTGGTGGATTTATGCGCGTCCTATCACTGAAGTATCACAGAAGCAGCTCAGCACGTCTCTAAAAATAAACACCTGGTCTATTCTGGATAAAAGATGTGTTGACCTGCATAGAACAGATCAGGCAAATGACGAGGGACACCAAACAAACATAAAAAATAGCTCCATCACAATGAAGTTCTTTTGGCTTCATTAGTAAGTCCAACTAATCGAGTTCTCAGACACTCAGACATCAGGTACGTTTGCATTAAAACCCTTACTGCTAAAACATTCGGGGTCTGCCGTAAAGCACCCCTAAAGTGGTCTCTTCCTTTATTATTTACTTCTCAGGTAAACATGTAGCCTGGCATACCATCATGCATATGTAAATGTAAACTATCTTCATACATTACTGGAGTGCTAGGACCAATCGGAGCAATGACAATGTGACATACTTTGTCGTTTGTTTCTGTCAGAGCTCTGGTGCTCAGCCCAACCAGTGTCTCTCTACACACATAGAGCGCTGTGATTGGCCTGGCCTAAACTTAGCTAGAGCAACGTTAGACCTGCTGAGGCTACAATGGAGTGGGGTAGACCAACCTGCAGGGTAAATATTTTGCTAGTGCTAGGGTTGGTCTAGATTTCTAGGCTATCAAAATTGAGCTTGCTGTAGAAATACGCTTTGGCACGGACAGCATCAATCACATTTTAAATAGGACATTATATTCCAACATACTGAAGCAGCTTTTTATAGCATTTTACAACATAATTAGCATGAAACCATGCCAAAAAACGTAAACTAAAAATGTACTGCTAGTTCAGAGCTTCAGTATAAATATGCTTGAAACCTCATTCAAATTTTAAATGAGTGACAAGATATCAGACTCTAGCATACAGAAGAAGCATTTTCATATATTTTACCATGGCAACGCAATTTGCAACAAACCACACTGGGGGGGTGGGGGGGAGGGTGGGTTGCCACCTGTTTCTTTAGGGACTTCCTAAATAGTTTTGCAGTCACAGGGTCAGTCACTACAAAGACAAAAGATGGTTTTGGACCAAACCCTTGCTTTTTTCACGAAAAACATTCCAGTAAGGAATCATGTCTAGAGATGGGTCTAAACTGGTTCTTTTTACAAAAGATAATAGCTGGTTTGGTTTTCAAGCCAGTGAGCCAAGTTATTAAGTCACATTAAGCATCTTTTCCAGTAAATGTTTGATCCTCTCCCCTTTGAATTCTGAGTTTCTGTAGAAGAAACAGTGTAGGGAGCCAGTTCATCTACACAGATCAGATTTTGTCATGTTGGTCTAGCAAACTGGTGCCTTAAGCTCTTCAGTCCTCTGTTTCATTAACACTGATGTTGGCGTTTGTGAACGACCTTTACTCAGGGTTCTTACACTTTATTTGAATGAATTCCAAGCACTGTTCAAGTCCTTGAAAGGCGAGTTTTCAAAATCTTCCAGTATTGTACATCTGTGATTTACAAATAACAGAACACCTGGTTTATCATCGTGTTTATGTTTACACTTGTCAGTCAGAAAAGAGAGTTGTTTAGTTGCCACTGGTTTCATGAGAAGTGATTTATGTCGCAGAGGTTAATAAGAGTAGGAAATGCATTTAAAGTCACCACAACTCTGAACTAGTCCAACTGAGAACCTCGTACATCTAGGACAACAGTGCAGCTCCGTTTTAACATGTTCCCTATGTTACATCAATAAGTCTAAATTTGCCTTCAGCCGATCTTAAACTACTAATTAAAGTTTTATTATACTTTGTTTTAGTACTGCTAACTAAACCTGACCTGAATCATGCAAGGGCAACGCAACAAAAACGGTTCACTCAGTCTAATTAGAGACACAAATAAGACAAAAACACATTTGCCACTTAACTTTAACAACAACACGCCCCAAAACCGAAAACCACATTGCTATCCAAATTCCCAAAAAGCCAGACTTATCTATGATGTGAATGAGCCTGCTTCTGATTTTGTGTGTGTGTGAGAGTCTGGGTCAGGCTCTGCCACCCTTTCGTAAGCAGTGGCTGAGCGCTGGTTTTGCGGGTACGTGTTAGCACGCAGCCAGATTGTTGTGGGCGCTACTGAGGATTACAGCGGGACGCCTCTGCTTTTAAAGAGCCTGTGTGGCTGCCCGCTGTAGGAGGACAAGCTCGCTCTTTTCGCACACAGCATCCAAACAGATGCAACAACAGTCGTCTGGGAGGATAATTGCTTTAATTGCTCTGCTGTCTAAACAACCACCAGTTGAGTTAACTCACAGCCCGACTTTAAAGTCATGTTAAAATAACACTCTGGTCTTCTGCAGATCTACTGTTACCATTAAATTCCTCAGCACTGCTTCGGTTTCCCAATAATGAACCCGACTGCAGCGACATCCAGTAACTTTCTACCCAGCAAATGGTCGTCATCCAGCCCCACATTATCAACACTAGCGCCGGCCCACAGGTCTGCCCCCTCCACCGCACACACAGCTTCACCGCTCGACAGCTGGCCTCGTACCAGGGCAAAAGAAAACACACACACTAATACACACAAGTCCTCACCCAGGTCGGGGAAGAGCGGGGGTGCTCGAAAATAAGCCCCTGCTTTGATTGGACAGCTGACTCTGAGCTATGCTTGAAATGTTTCATCAGAACTCAGTTGGAGATATTTAAATGAGTGCGTCTGGCCAGGACAGGATTTCTTTTTCCTCTCTCCAGTACCAAACTTTCCTCCCTCCCCAGAGAGTTTGGATTGGAGAACGATTTGCTTTGAGGAGAACGCTGTGTGCTCCCAATCACAGAGTTAAATGTAATCATGTGGTGCCTAAATGGACACCAACGTGGACATTCTGCTGAACAGTTGTTTTCTACAGTTTGGATCTCTTGACCACTTTTAAATTATTTTTATAAACATTCATGTTAAAACACATACACCCGATTCCACTATTGGAACCTTCAGGTAATTTTAACGGACCTTCACGGAAAACACACATCTGTGGTTCGATACCAGCTACAGTTGGGCTGAGGTGGCATATTAAAAATTTTAAGCGATATTTGTCAGTCCAAAAAATGATGATGGGCGACATATTCATGCAATTAAGATGTTCTGTGGGCCTGACATAGTGCACAGAGGAACGCTCCACCAATCACAATCATTCTTACTCAGTTCGCAGAAGTAAGCAATTTAATAATAATAATAATGCATTGAACTTATATAACGCTTTTCTAGACACCCAAAGACGCTTTCACACACTCTCACATTCACACACTGCCAGTGATGGTAAGCTACTTGTAGCCACAGCCGCCCTGGGGAGGTCTGACAGAGGCGAGGCTGCCATTTGGCGCCGTCGGCCCCTCTGACCACCACTAACACAGGCAAGTTGGGTGAAGTGTCTTGCCCAAGGACACAACAGCAGGATACCCCTGGCGGGAGCTGGAATCAAACCCATGACCCTCAGATAATGAGACAACCCACTCTACCACCTGAGCTACTGCTGCCCCTAATTTGAGACATTGTTTTCTGAATTTCAGTGGCTGTTTGTTTCGTCAGTTAACTATGAACTAAACCATAGTTGGTTTGTGCTACACAAGATAACAGAGGGAGGTGCATCTCACCTGTCAGCCAATAACTGATCCTTTTGCCCCAGCAGAGGCTGGGCGACCCTTCATCAATTGGTTTGGTGTCACTGAAAAGTTTGAAGCTAACATTTGGATGTGAACAGATGCTAATCAGGTTCACTACACAGGGATTATGAGAGATAAATCTGAGGGAAAATTTGAATGTTTTACACGCTCCATTATGCTGGATTGTGAATGTAAGACTTGTTGTGGACCAAATACTTTATTGCAGTACTTTTATTTGACTTCTTAATGTAAAAAGGCCATTCTTGTTGGAGATGGCTCTATTATGTCAACGATATGAGGCTTTGAATGGTGAGTGGTTTGACAAAGGTGTTTACTATGTCCACAGTTATTGTTGAATACTTTATTTGCATATATCATTCTAATGATAAGAAGCATAGCTTTCAAATTATGTGAAATATGTATATGTACATAATACATGTGTTCTAGATGTAGATTTTTAATGTCCTATTCGTGAGATTAATTCACAACCATAAAAAACACTGTTCATAAAAAAAGAATTTGGCTTGGCCAATTGCATCTTTTTACTGAAAATGTTTCATCGAGAACATAACACATTTTCATGAAAACTGTCTTCTTATGTGTTTTATTGTTAAATATTCATTAAAAAATATAAATAATAAAGAGAAATACTCCAATGATGTAAAGACCACATGGGCAATGATAGATCGAGACATCAGACTCGTAGAACACAACATATTCTAGAAACAGAACTTTCCACCGAGTATCTATCCTCCACTGACGTGAATATTTTAAGTAATTGCCACTAGCTGTTGAACAGAAATCTAGGTGTGATACGAATGATAAAATAAACAGGAGAGGTAATGTCTTTAGCATTGAGATGGTCAGCAATGCTGGACTTCAGGTGTAGAACGGTCCAGAATGGCGCATATGCACAAAAAGCATGGTTTGAATAATAAATTATATGTACCAGAAACATCCTTCACTGAAATATTAAAGCCTAACTGATCAAGAAACAAAGGTTCCTCACAAATAATGGTGGGCATTTTCTTTAAAATGTTATATC